GAAGAAATTCACTTTGATAACGTCTACTTTACTTCACGACTTGCTCACGAATAATACACTAAATGTTCATAAGTGCCATCCTAAAAGTGCATATTTTATTCCTGAATAAGCAAAAAATAGAAAGAGATCGGAGATAACTGGAGAGTAATAAATAAATTAGTCGTAACAAAACTCACAAAAGTGCCAACGCTAATTAGATACGCAATAATGGATATAGATAGATAGAAACAATTACCAGGTCAGAGATGCTTATAAGTGTCACCCTAAAAGGCCATATTTTATAATCCCAAATAAACAAACTTTACAGCTTACAATACAGAATTACACGATGAATATCAATAAATTGAATGTTTTCCTTGGTTTTTATTAAGTTATTTTTACTGCCCGGATATATTCGAATCTGAACATTTTAGCGACATAAGTTGCGACGCCGACCGTATATATACGGGTCTGCACATTTTGGCCGGTTTTGCACGCCCGTGTTAATACGTTTCTGCGCGTTAAGGGGTTAAAGTGTTGCTAATATAATGCTCAAATATTTATTAATTTGTTGGATTGGTCGCATATTATGATTATATTGCGTGCAAACTGATAACAACGGTTTCTTGATCTATTACAGATTCCGAGTTGCCCAGATTCACTGAAGAAATACAAAATGTGACAGTCAGTGAGGGTCGCAACGCTGTGCTAGCCTGTATAGTTGACAATCTACGGAATTTTCAGGTGAGTAGAGATTTATATAAAAAGAACAAAATGAAAATAAATAATCGAACTGCTCGAGAATAAAATGTAGAGAATTTTACTTTTGAGCCAATTAAATCGTGAAACGAATACTAGTCGTTCGCTTCGTTCGACCGAAGTCGGATAGATGTGCAGGAGAGTCTTTTCGCATCGATCACCGCAAATTTTGTTAAACGATGAACCCTCTTGCATCCCCCGATAAGTAAGCTACTCACGGAGGCTCGTTATTAAGTGGAGCTTTTTTACGCTTCGCTTGAGAATTTGACGCCAGGGAATGAACGCAGCCAGAGCCCTGGTAATTCTATCCGTGACTTGTAACAACGTCAACTTCAGCCGGCTACGTCGTTCGTTACGCCAATGGAAATACATCATGGACCGTGTCACGTTGAATTATTAAAGTAATACTGTAACGACACTGGTTCCCGCGATCCTCCTTCGCGTAGGGGGCCTCGTGTTTCGTATTACCATTCCCACGACTGATCCTTGCCAGACACAACTACATACTGCTAACAGGAAACATACTCCGCGGTCGAAGTATCCTTTAATGGTTGAAGTTGACTGGTTAGAAGGTCAATTTAACTGGTAGATAAATTTACTTTGATCGTGTTACACGAAATCGTAATTATTAGTCTTTTAATTATTTATTCAATTTATATGTTTTACTTACGGCGAATGTTACAATAACACTTGTTAAAAATCAGAATAAATGTCTTATTATTTCTTTTATAGACTAATATAAAACAGCTGCTTTTTGTGCTCCGTAAATCTAGTGTCTAAAATGTTTAGCGAATGTTACAATAACACTTGTTAAAAATCAGAATAAATGTCTTATTATTTCTTTTATAAACTAATATAAAACAGCTGTTTTTTGTGCTCCGTAAATCTAGTGTCTAAAATGTTTAACTTAGTACGGAGATTTCTAGAAATAATCTGTTAAATGTTATTCCATTCTTTTAACAATAAACTTATTGGTACGGTCGGAACGACGGGCCTCAGATTTTTTCTATTAAAGTTGCTCAAATTACAAAAAATCTCTTTTATAGAGAACAGTTGAAGAAATTTCTTAAACCAAGCATACTATGCAATTAAAATGGAAGAAGATTTAATCACTTTTAGTATTGGGTAGAGTTTTTAGTGTTAAGTTGGATTAAAATTCTGTTCTTTTGTTTTGAATATTTAAGCATTGAAGTAATTGTAGGCACATAATGCATATAAATTTTCTTTTTCATTTAAGAGATTGTTATAATCGAAGAAGTTCCGATTTGTTCCATTTTATTTTTGTTTCTACAAATTGATGTTAATTATATTTATTTTGCATAAAGGGTCGCAGTGTAGCAATTATACGTATATGTATTAATCTTTCGTTCGCTCCATTTCGAAACCGTCCGCGCAGGTTAATAAAAAATGGATAAAATTATCTATCCATTCATCGACCTAATTACGAGAAAATTAACTCTGCAAAATTTAAACTCGAACGGATAACGGAGTAATCACTGTTAATTATTAAGTTCATCAAACTGTGTAGCTGCATATCTGTCAATTGTAGATCTCGAACATCATCGTCTATGCTTGATTCCTATTTTCCGTACAACGAATATTCTTTCCAAGGAAATGGGTATTAATGAACGTTTGTGCAAAAACAAGTTTTTGAATATAACTTTGAGTATATCGCTATCTAGTTAAATATCTCGCGACGAAATACCTGCAGAAGATTTAAAATGAAAATGGCAATTATTAAAACAACTCTCGGTCACAAAATTAATAAATATATTAATAAATAATTTAATAAAAATTAATAAATATAAGTATATTTGCCAACTTCGAAAATACCTCGAAAAACTTTTGTATCTTACGGATCTTGGCCATCTTATTTAGTCAAGACAAAACAGATTTCGAAAATGTGTCATTAATTATATAATTTACTTAGAAAGATAAATAGAACAAATTTGCTTTGCAGAATTTTTAAATCGAATTGGCTGATCAATCTCGCCTGATTCTCCGAGTTCCATTTGGAGAGCACGTTGCTCCAAATAACAGACAGCAGATAGGGGAGGGGGCAGTAAATAACTTAAAATCTGTTACAGCTGTCATTGTAAATTTTTAATATATCGTGAAAAACTACTGTTCATGAGTATATGCAATTGAAATTGTATACTAACTCAAATGACTTTAAGATTTGCTAAAGTAAATCGCAATGGCTTTAAATTATTACTGATTTCATGAGTTAGTGAAAATGTTTTTCCTTTCTGACAATCTCTAATTTAATTTTTCGAAGTTTAAAAATGATCGTAATTTAACGCTATTAAGAGTATATAATTATTAAAAATCTGTATTCGCTCTGCGACACAAGACAATTGTAACATTTTCCCTAGTCTCCATATTACGTTGATAACTTGATTTGCAGGTCTTTATGCAGAATATAAATTGTGTGCAGCATGGTGCAGCAGCTTAACAGACATTTATTTCTTTTCGTAATAATTTCGTAATATAATAATATTTCGTAATAATTGAGCGAAACACACTGCAAGAGTGACTTCAAATTCTTTAAATGTATGTATGCTTTGGCATACAGTTTTTTGGTTCAAATGTAACAATATTTACGTAATTGTGACCTAAACTGAAATTGTTACGACTCTGTATTCGTGTAATCGTCGCCAAATTTTGACGCACTATCTCCGTTACGTAACAAAAGAACTGCTCATATTCGAAATCGAAGGTAAGATTTCATTATGTCCGGGGCTCGGATCGATCGTTATAGTGCTCGCCGCATATTAAGAGGAAGACGGTATCGGCGTGTACCTTATTCGGAAAAGTTGGAGCGCGTTTCGTAGATCCACAAAAGCCTGGCTCGCGCATCGAAACCCCAGCGGCGACGAGGGAAAGAAAACGAGTGAGGTTCTAAGCCTTCTTATACTTATCCTTCTATTCTCTGTATCCCGTGAAGGTTTCGAAGATCCGCGAAGGATACGGGATACAAGCCCAGTCGGTGTATTGGATTAAGCACGCGATAAGAAGGGAAGGGTTGTTATATACGGTGTTCAAAGCCCCGCGAACGAAAACCGACGTGAATGGATACAAGTCGGGAATGTACATACGGACAATTCTATAAGTGAAACTGCGCATCGAAATACCCGACACTTTTCAATTCTTACTTGGAGCTTGGAAAATTTATTGGTTACCTTGAGAAGCCAACACCTGCGGAACTTCCCGGGGCCGGTCTATATTCGGATGGTTCCCAAAGAATTGAACGCAAAAGTTTAGGCAAAATTCGGAACGATAAACTGCCGAACGAAATGAACTTCCGGAAAGTTGGACCTCACCAATCTACGCTGGAATTTTCTTCCCGTTTCAGCATTTTTTTTTCTTTTTACCATCGGATCGTAAAGGGCCACTGGCAAACGGGAAAGAAGTTAATTACCTGTCTACGTTTGTGCCCTTTGTAACATCGTTGCCCATGGCGTATCGCGCTGCAGAATATATTAATATTGCGCCGACTTTCACGGACTTCGAAGGTTCATCAGATTTTCTAATTTATCTGTCGATATTCCTGGTCTTTTTCCGAAGCGTCACGGTCGCGTCGTGTCGTTCTGGTTATCGACCAGGAACGAATTCGATGAATTTTAAATTCATTTCCATTTAATTCCTTTCTTTTTTGTTTGCAAACTTCGAGTATAAACAAATCCGTGAACGCACTGCCGACGTTGTTTAATCGAAGCTATAATATATATTGATTCGATCATACAAACTTAATTGCTTTCAATCAGTGGTTCGTAAATCCGCGCCGATTAAGGCAGAGCAATTTTTAAATATCTGTTTGCGTTATGATCGATACATCAGATATTTTTTGCGTAAATATTTTTCCGCATAACAACGCAGCGCGTGTAGGAAAATAAAGCTAAAGTGGTACTCTGAAAGGTTATAATCCGTAATAGTCGGTTAATAGTAATCTATGGAAAGAATATAGATTATTGTTATCGTATAATAAATCGCATACTTCTTTTAATTATACTTGATGTACAAGTATATTTTGCATAAAAAGCCTTTAACTTATTTGCGCATTTTATTCATTCTTTACGCGTTAGTGATTGCAGAAATATTTTGAATACTAGAAATTATTTATTTGATTCGTATTAATTCATTTGCATGTAAAAGTAAAATTCTTTAACTTGATTTGTTATTTTTAAGTTCCAACTACATGCTACTGGTTTATCGTTTACTCACAAAAATGTTAGGAAATGAAATTATTCAAAAGTTGTTAAAGAGATGCACTTTCATTTCCTTGTTTATTTTCTGATTCAGTAGGGAGAAAAACGAGCTTTTAGTTAAAATTTAACATGCCCTGGTTTGCCCATAAAAATCGACTCTTTAAAGTTATTCCGAATGTAAAGTACGAAATGGATTATCTCTACTGCACCGTAATTGAATGATGTTTGAAGCTGCTTTGTCAGGCAAAAACTGTCGCAGTCCGTTTCTAGTGTAGAACATTTGAATGGATATAATGGATAATCTATTCTCCCATTACGGCGAATTTTCTTCCCGTTTCGTTTCTCCATTTGAAACAACGGGCTTTTTAACATTCAACGCGGAAATACTCCAAGTAATATTATACTTTACCTCATCCATCGAATATATTTTCTTCATCTATAAAATTAAATTTAATTGATGGATAAAATGTACTTTTATAACTTTTTTATCAAAGTTTTCTAATACGGATAAATTCCTCGTTTTGATTGATCATTGTTTAGCCAGAGGATCATGATTAGATACATACATGATAGCTTTTCTTAATACTTGTAACAAACGTGCCTAAGAGCTTTTCGTTTCCACAATGTTATTAACGTTCTCGCCATTCACTATGCTGTGTAATATTCTGTAATGCAGTATGTTGTAATAAATCTCATGATAGATTTCCTTAATAAAAAAAACCTGTTAACTCGTTGAATGCCGCGTGAAATTCGGGTGACAATAATCTTTTACTAGTTTACAAAATTTATGTTTATCGTAATATATTTGACCAATTCAAATTGTACTACGACGTTTAAAATGCCAAAGATAATAGCGCCTACTACAATCAGTCTTCACTTTCTCGTTTCGCTTTTATTAATTAAGTTATTTTGACCTTTAGGGAACCTTTAATGAATTTCGGTTCTCTTGTCACGATACTTAATAATTTCGGTGAAAGTAGACACAAAATAAACCCTTTACCTTCTAAAAACTTATTACTAGACTGCGGATTTTTATGGAATATCAAATTTTTGTGCACCGATTGTAAGAAATAGGAACTGCACAGGAATTTATTTCTTGACTTAATAATTCTAATAAATTGCGAATAACGTAACAAGATTCTTAAATTCTTTGGTATTATTACTGTTTGGAGTTCCACCTACTCGTTTTTATTAAAAGTACATAAAATCTGCAGTTCACTTTTGTTTCAATCATTGTAACTGTGTAAATAATAATACAGAGTTAAAAAGATTGTTTACGAATGATATTCATTTTTTAATCGCAGACCGCCGAATTCGCTTGTTTCAGGTGGCATGGGTACGAATCGATACGCAAACCATCTTATCGATCCATCACAAAGTCATCACCCAAAATCCACGGATATCATTGACGTACAATGATCATCGTACGTGGTACCTCCATATAAAGGAGGTTCAGGAGGACGATCGCGGATGGTACATGTGTCAAGTGAACACAGATCCGATGAGAAGCCGACAGGGTTACCTGCAAGTTGTAGGTAAGTCCATGATGAATATTGCATTTCCGTGTTTCAGGCGTACCGACTGACAACGGGACAAGGTGTCGTTGAAGTGGAGTCGCAGGATTGAACCGTCTAATACTAACTTTAAAACGAAATATCTATTTTTCACGCGAATGTATCACTGAAAATAGAAGCACGATAATCACCGAAGTTTTTGTGACGTATTAACATTTATAATTCTCATCAAACTTAAAATAATCTTTTAATTCTTTTCATCATTGTTTCATTCTCACATCTTTATGGACGTGAAGAAAGATTGTAATTTATGCACTAATTTTCAATTTCGATTGAAAATTTCAATTTCAATTTCAAGTTCAATTCATGCACTACCATTCATGCTTAATACGAATTTCTATATTTGCACGCGATTTTCAAGACATTAGAATCGAGAAAGGCTTTTTTCACGGTTCTTTTACTTTTTTTAAAAAGATTTTCATACGTAATGTAATTAATCTGAATATTTATTTCTTCAAAATCGAAACCAAGTCGAGGAATCAAAGTAAATGAAGACGTACGATAAACAAAAATTGTCTCGTTCGATCAGTAGAATTATTAAAATATTTTTCATAAGCAAAACAACTCCTAATTATTTGGCACACCATTAAAGAAGTATCTAATGTTTTTATTTGAAATCTGACAATAGAAATTCTGGGATGAAAATTATAAATTTTCTATATTTTACCACTATTACTATAAGAAAGGTATAGTTTTTACATTTTTCAATGAAATGTAATGCATTCTGCGACCGAGCCAAAGCTTTGAAAAAAAACCAGCTCTGACAGGGGTGCGGATAAATGAAATGTTTCGCATGCTTCGTTTCTATGTTGCAAAGCCTGTTCGAAGATTATTTGGATATTGAAACCATCTATGATACGTTACGTCAACCAGCGAATACAATTTCTCTTTAGTGATTTCCATTAATTTCGCCGACGGTCGTTATAGACATATCTAATTAACCGCAAATTTAATCCTTACTCGTTTAATTAAGCAAATTCTCGCTGAGGACAGTTTATCGATACTATCTTCTGTCTATAATAAATAGCGACACGATGACGCAGAACGTAATTAAGCCAGTGGTACAAAGTTCCGAGTTCACATATAATCATTTTATAAACTGTTAGTCACTCTAATTATATCGCATTAACAAACGCAAATCATCGAAATGCAAAATCGTTTATTTTCTCGTTCGAAAACATCTAATTGAATTTTTCATAACAAATAAGAGCAAATGCCGGATGAATGAACACATAAGCTGCACATTTATTAAAATAATCGTTATTTAATCCCTGGAATAGTATTATCGTAAAGGAGATTAATACTAAGTCTATATACACTTCTGTACCAATTCTAGCATTATTGGATAGTTATAGCGTTTTTAAAAAGTGTAATACAGAATTTCAAGAATACGAGAAACTACAAAGGAAATCGATAAATTTTTACAAAACTGCATCTACGAGACATTTTTAGGTATATAATAGAACTGCTGTATAAATTTGAATATGATAGGCGTATGATAAACGTTATCTTTCCAAATAGTATAAGAAATGTCCATTCACTTGGGGGTATTCATTAATTCGACATAATATTTACTTAAGTCGATACTATGTTATAGTTTTCTATAAAGCTTTATTAATTTTAAATAATTATAATTTCGTAAGATTTTGTCCGGTCTCGAGACGGATGTATCATTTATAATATCGCGTAAATTACATACAAATAATATCTGAAGAGATTGAAAGAGAAATAAAATCATGACTCCTCAAGAGAGTGTAACAATAGTATAACTTCAGAAACATATGCCTCCACCATTATCTACATTTTCCACTTCGAAATGATCTGTCCGCTGCCCTATGAAAGACAGTGCACCTCTCTCTCTCTCTCTCTCTCTCTCTCTCTCTCTCTCATCGAACATTAATTTTAAAAAATTAAGTTAATATCGATGATTCACAAGCTTGCTTCTGAAGTTAGGAATTTTATCCTTTTATAGTATGGCAAAGAACAGTATCTATTCAATTTTCGCATTTCTTTCTTATTGCAGTGCCACCCTCCATTAAAACGAACGAAACCAGCTCGGACATGGTCGTACGGGAGGGTGCGAACGTGACGCTGACGTGCAAAGCTAAGGGATATCCAGAGCCCTACATCGCCTGGAGTAGAGAGGACGGAAAGGACATAAATTATAACGGCAAAAACGGTGAGTTTTGATCAATCAAATACTGTCAAATATTTTGATCAGTCAATACCGCCTTGCTACATCGATAGTTCGCCAACGATAGAACCTACGACGTGATGCGAAAGCATGATTGAAGTTTTCATGTAATTCAGTTAATATCTTTATCGATATAGTTTTCACAGTGCACACGCGCGCGCGCACATGCAAACACAATTCGGCTTTTATGTGGAAATAGCTCTCCGGAAACCGTGAAAATATACATAAAACATAACTGCGCGCGTGAAAAAGTTTGAAAATTGATTCCGAGCGTGAACATCCATTAAATGTTATGAATTATTTTTAACTGAATACTCGATCACATTTCTACGTGATATTTATTTACTTAAATAATTCTTTCGCATTCCAAATTTATTTACATTTTTATTTACATTTAAATAAAAATAATTGCGTAAAAAAGAATAATTACTACTAATTCGACAATATCGGAGTGTGAACACGTATGGATTGAGTATTGATCTTATTGTTTAATTTGTGGTATTTATAAAAAAATTGACCACTGCCATAGTGATATAAGTGTAGTCCGCACTTGATAAGAAAGCACTTTTGTGTTTACATTTCCTCCCGTACTAGCTGTCACACTGCCGCAGCTATCGGTCGCTATTGGTCGAAAACGATGACTAAGATCAGCGGCCGTCGCTAGCGGCAGTGGGGCAGCTAGTAAGAGGGGGGATGCAAACACAAAGGTGCATATTTGTCGCGTGAGGGCTACAAAAGTATCTCAATGTCGTTCATATAGTACGAATATAACATAAAGTCGTAAAAATAAAACAAAAATAAATATTTCGTACACTATACTTTTTCATAGTGAAACAATAGTATCATTTCAGAAACATATGCCTCCACCATTTTCCACTTCGGAATGATCTGTCCGCTGCCCTATGAAAGACAGTGCACCTCTCTCTCTCTCTCATCGAACATTAATTAAAAAAAAAAAGTTAATATCGATCATTCACAAGCTTGCTTCTGAAGTTAGGAATTTCATAATAATCCTTATTAGCGAAGTAGTTGATCCTAGAGTGAGTGTTTCAAGAAATGTGCAAGAAATATAATAGTTAAGTGTTAAAATAAAAAATTGGTAGCTCAATATATATAGTCAGTTAATTGTTCATAAATTACCACCTGACCACGCTTTATTGAACAAAGCGTTTGGTAAATCGAGCTTCGGAAGATCCAATCAGGGATCGTTGCACTTCAAATGGCAATTGAAATTTGTGCTGTGTCAGGCAAACATGCTGTTCCGCCCATGTTCCTACCTAAATTAGATCCAAGGATTGCATTTCGGTGAACTGCCATTAGTGCATCAGTAAAGATGAAACTGTCAATTCAGTCTCCTCATTAGCAAATTATCTGAAATGTGAAAGATTACAGCTGCTACCAACTTTACAAATATCTTACATTGTCAAATACCGTAGCAAAATAAATTACGGTATTGTAAGATTTGAATTCGAACGCGCTTAGTGAATTTTTCAAGCACTGAATGCTGAATGCAATTTGTACCAGAATTATCTCTTTCATGTATTCATAGTACAACATGAAAGTTGAGCATTTATGTACTTATTGCAAACAAGAGCAATTGTCCATCATAACCAAAGAGAGCCTTCAAGATAGAAAATAATATCTTTAATATGTTTTTCAAAATTTCGGAAACATAATGATATAAAACTGTATGAACTGTACTCGTTATCCGATAATTCTCGTTATACTTGCCAAGGTGTGACAGTAATTACAAAGTGTAAATCTTCCTGTAAAGTGAAAATGTTCGCCGTCAATTACAAGTAACAGAAGTATCACAAAAAGGAACTTCCTCTTAACAATTTTAATATGTTCGAAATAATATGACGATAATTTAAAATTCTGCTGATGCTTTTAAACTGTAATCATCGTTTCAATGCGGTTCCATGATTTCATTGCGTTTGAGTATTTAAACACGGAATAATTTTTCTCGCCTTAATTAAAAAAGGGATCGATACTGGGTCTGACGTAACACGAGGGAACGAGGGAATACTCTTCACCGACAGATGCTTTATCATCGACTATCGTAAATAATCGATCTTCCAAGGGTCTTCTGTTTATCATGGTACCGTCCTAAAAATAGCGCTGCAAATTACGAACATGGCCCTCTACCTGGAAGTTGTCTCGATCGATGCTAATTACTTTCTTAATTACTAATTATGGATAGGGTGAGAAGTACGACACTGGCTCTCCGCATTTCTCTCTCACACTCTCTCCTTCTTCTTGTCTCTCTATCCGTTCGATTCATTCTCCCTCCCACCTCCTCCTCTTCTCTCTTTCTGTCGCTCTCCAGCTCTCTCTTTCGCTCTCTCGCTCTCTCTTTTTCTCTTTTAGCACACACACACACACACGAACACAGACACGCATTAGTGGGCAAAGATGTACAGGGAAGCGGAACGTCAGACAGTCTGTCGGTTTCAAAGGATTTTCTCAATATCGGATAAAGGCCGGATTTAATTTCTGCTCTAATTTAAATTTTCATTGCCCTCGAGGTATACTCAGGCTCAGACGCTCAGAGAAAGCTTTCGAAGCTTGCGTCTCATCCTAACTTTGCCGTATAAACTGTCACTGATAAATATGTATGCGTCGAATCGTTTTTGCGCGGAAAAAAAGACGATGCTCCGTCGCATTATGCGATTGTCTGCTTGCGAACAATCGAAGAAACGTAATGATCATTATGATTTCATGAAAACCACCGATAAATTAAGAGAAGCGATTTTATTCTCGTACATTTTTATCGAACGATGTTCGCCGACGGACAGATTTCGCTTCAAGTGCCTATGTGATTTATGCGTATCCTGTCGAATGATTATGCAAATTCATTACATCATGGAATTTCACTTAATTATTATGGGATTTAAATCATTTCTATCAGCTATATCCATTTACCTTTTCTTTCGTTCTGTTACACTTCTCTGTATATTCAAATAATATTTTATCAATGCCACAGTTTATTGTAAAGGTTATAATAATTTACGTTAAAGAGAATTTGTCAAATACACTAATATTCCGGTTTTATTGTATCGAGAACAGTTCATTTTTTAATATAATTTATGAAATAATTATGGAAAATTAATATCCAAAGACCTGTAAGATTAGGAGTAAGATCACTCTTATGGGACAACCATTTCAACTAATGAAATTTGTTAATTTGTTAGGAACTATACAAAGTCGAACAAAAATTCTTTTCACGATATTATGTGCGATAGAAATCTTGTTTAAGAAGAATTGCTTCTTATTCGCATCAATTCAGTCATATAAATGTTGCAAAATTCCATAGTTCCCTTACAAGTATANAACATGGCCCTCTACCTGGAAGTTGTCTCGATCGATGCTAATTACTTTCTTAATTACTAATTATGGATAGGGTGAGAAGTACGACACTGGCTCTCCGCATTTCTCTCTCACACTCTCTCCTTCTTCTTGTCTCTCTATCCGTTCGATTCATTCTCCCTCCCACCTCCTCCTCTTCTCTCTTTCTGTCGCTCTCCAGCTCTCTCTTTCGCTCTCTCGCTCTCTCTTTTTCTCTTTTAGCACACACACACACACACGAACACAGACACGCATTAGTGGGCAAAGATGTACAGGGAAGCGGAACGTCAGACAGTCTGTCGGTTTCAAAGGATTTTCTCAATATCGGATAAAGGCCGGATTTAATTTCTGCTCTAATTTAAATTTTCATTGCCCTCGAGGTATACTCAGGCTCAGACGCTCAGAGAAAGCTTTCGAAGCTTGCGTCTCATCCTAACTTTGCCGTATAAACTGTCACTGATAAATATGTATGCGTCGAATCGTTTTTGCGCGGAAAAAAAGACGATGCTCCGTCGCATTATGCGATTGTCTGCTTGCGAACAATCGAAGAAACGTAATGATCATTATGATTTCATGAAAACCACCGATAAATTAAGAGAAGCGATTTTATTCTCGTACATTTTTATCGAACGATGTTCGCCGACGGACAGATTTCGCTTCAAGTGCCTATGTGATTTATGCGTATCCTGTCGAATGATTATGCAAATTCATTACATCATGGAATTTCACTTAATTATTATGGGATTTAAATCATTTCTATCAGCTATATCCATTTACCTTTTCTTTCGTTCTGTTACACTTCTCTGTATATTCAAATAATATTTTATCAATGCCACAGTTTATTGTAAAGGTTATAATAATTTACGTTAAAGAGAATTTGTCAAATACACTAATATTCCGGTTTTATTGTATCGAGAACAGTTCATTTTTTAATATAATTTATGAAATAATTATGGAAAATTAATATCCAAAGACCTGTAAGATTAGGAGTAAGATCACTCTTATGGGACAACCATTTCAACTAATGAAATTTGTTAATTTGTTAGGAACTATACAAAGTCGAACAAAAATTCTTTTCACGATATTATGTGCGATAGAAATCTTGTTTAAGAAGAATTGCTTCTTATTCGCATCAATTCAGTCATATAAATGTTGCAAAATTCCATAGTTCCCTTACAAGTATA